TTTAAATAAATGTGACATGTTTAAACAATTACAAAGGAGGTTTATATTTTACTGAAATGTAACTCAACAAGTGACATAGTATTGAAACCTATAAAGTCAAAACCAAAGTAAATATTGTATCTAGAGATATTGGCAGAAAGTCAGTACTAGTGTGAAACTAATTGCCTCCTTTAGTCCTTGAAAGATTATATTGAACAGAGATAAATGAATGGGAAATTAAAAAGATTTCAAGAATATGTAATAAACTCTATCCACTACAGAAAATCTTTTAAGCACTTGTAAGTTTTTTGTTTAATTGAACATAAATATATTCCGAAAGATAGAATTAGTGTAGGTTACAGACACTGGGAACAATATTAGAAAGCTAGAAATAAATAACAGAAGAAAAATAATATTAAAAATGTTAAAATAAACAATTTTGTAGTTAAAGAAGAAAATAAAATTTAATAAGCGAGGAGACTGCATATAACAACCTCTGGTATATTGCCAAAGCTGTATTCACAGGAAAGTTATAGAATTAAGCACCTTTATTACATTCTTGCTATATAAGAAAAAAAGTGGAACAAAAAAGCTATTGAATTTGAAAATTTACAAAAGAAAAAATGAACATAAGAAAGCAGGAGAAAATAATAATTTAAGCTAAAATTAATGAATAGAAAACTGAAAAGCAGTATAAAGTATAATAAATCCAAGAGCTTTTTGTACCTTGGTACAAAATCTAAGTATAAATATAAGTATAAATCTAAGTATAAATCTAAGGTATAAATATCTAAGTGGTTTTTCAAAGAAGGAAAAAAACAGCCAAGCACACAAATTAGGGATAAGTAAGAAGACAAAGCCAGCTGACAGAGAAGTCAAAATTATTGGGTAATACTTTCTATTGATTTATGTTAAAAATGTTAAAATCTGGAAAAATGTATTTTCTCTAGGAAGACCTAAATTGCTGAATGTTGCTAAAATAGATAGGAAATATATGTAGTTTAATATCTATGAAATTCTTGAGGAAGTTGTTCAACACCCACCCCTAAAAGCTGTCCAGATAGCTTCAAAGACTTCAAGGAAGAGACAATTCTGAAGAGTTCTATAGATCACAGGAAAATGTAGGAAGGCTTCCAAACTTGTGAAACTGAGCACAAAAATGATACTTTCACTTTGATAATATAGACAAAAATGTAAACTACTATAGAAAACAGCTGTATTTTATATATGGTTACAATTATATTTCAAAAGACCCTTCCCTAAGCAGTGCTCACTCTAAAATTGCTGGGAGAGTGCATGTTGTGAATTCACATGATTACTTTAAAGGAGAGGAAAATTATTCATTCATGTTGCAAAGACATTTTTTAATTGATAAACTTTTAATTAATTTTGGATGTTAGTTAAAACTAATTTTTTTTATACTTTAATTTCTGGGATACATGTGCAGAATGTGAATGTCTATTGCGTAGGTATACATGTGCCATGGTCGTTAGCAGCACCCATTGACCCGTCATGTACAATATACATGTAAAAGTTCTCCTAATGCTATCCCTCCCCTAGCGCCCCAGCCCCGACAGGCCCTGGTGTGTGACGTTCCCTCCCTGTGTCCATGTGTTCTCATTGTTAACTCCCTCTTATGAGTGAGAACATGTGGTGTGTGGTTTTCTGTCCTGTGTTAGTTTGCTGAGAATGATGGTTTTCAACTTCATCCATGTCCCTGAAAAGGACATGAACTCATTATTTTTTATGGCTGCATAGTATTCCATGGTGTATATGTGACACATTTTCTTTATCCAGTCTATCATTGATGGGCATTTGGGTTGGTTTCAAGTCTTTGCTATTTTGAATAGTGCTGCAATACACATACTTGTGCATGTGTCTTTGTAGTAGAATTATTTATAGTCGTTTGGATATATACTCAGTAATGGGATTGCTGGATCAAATGGTATTTCTAGTTCTAGATCCTTGAGGAATCGCCACACTATCTTCCGCAATGGTTGAACTAATCTACACTCCCACCAACAGTGTAAAAGCATTCCTATTTCCCCACATTCTCTCCAGCATCTGTTGTTTCCTGATTTTTTAATGATCACTGTTCTAACTGGCAAGAGGTGGTATCTCACTGTGGTTTTGATTTGCATTTCTCTAGTGACCAGTGATGATGAGCTATTTTTCATGTTTGTTGGCAGCATAAATGTCTTCTTTTGAAAAGTGTCTTTTTATATGCTTCACTCACTTTTTCATGTTTTTTTTTCTTGTAAATTTGTTTAAGCTCCTTGTATATTCTGGATATTAGCCTGTTGTCAGATGGATTGAAAAAACTTTCTCCCATTCTGCAGGATGCCTGTTCACTCTGATGATAATTTCTTTTGCTGTGCAGAAGCTCTTTAATTTAATTAGATCCCATTTGTCAATTTTGTTTTTTGTTGCCATTGCTTTTGATGTTTTAGTCATGAAGTCTTTGCCCATGCCTAGGACCTGGATGGTATTGCCTAGGTTTTTTTCTAGGGTTTCTATGGTTTTAGGTCTTATGTTTAAGTCTTTAATCCATCTTGAGTTAATTTTTGTGTAAGGTGCAAGGAAGTGGTCCAGTTTCAGTTTTCAGCATATGGCCAGTCTGTTTTCCTAACACCATTTATTAAATAGGGAAATCTTTCCCCATTGCTTGTTTTGTCAGGTTTGTCAAAGATCAGATGGTTGTAAATGTATGGCATCATTTCTGAGGCCTCTGTTCTGTTCCATTGGTCTATATATCTGTTTTGATACCACTACCATGCTGTGTTGTTTACTGTAGCCTTGTAGTGTAGCTTGAAGTCAGGTAGTGTGATGCTTCCAGCTTTGTTCTTTTTGTTGAGGATTGTCCTGGCTATATGGGCTCTTTTTTGGTTCCATATGAAATTTAAAGTAGTTTTTCCTAATTCTTTGAAGAAAGTCAGTGGTAGCTTGATGAAGGTAGCATTGGATCTGTACATTACTTTGGGCAGTATGGCCATTTTCACGATATTGATTCTTCCTATCCATGAGCATGGAATGTTTTTCTGTTTGTTTATGTCCTCTCTAATTTCCTTGATCAGTGGTTTGTAGTTCTCTTTGAAGAGGTCCTTCACATCCCTTTTAAGTTGTATTCATAGGTATTTTATTCTCTTTGTAGCAATTGTGAATGGGAGTTTAGTATGATTTGGCTCTCTATTACTGGTGTATAGAAATGCTTGTGATTTTTGCACATTTATTTTTGTACATTGATTTTTGTATCCTGAGACTTTGCTGAAGTTGCTTATCAGCTTAAGGAGTTTTTGGATTGAGACGATGGAGTTTTCCAAATATATAATCATGTTATCTGCAAACAGACAAAATTTGACTTCCTGTCTTCCTATTTGAATACCCTTTATTTTTTTCTCTTGCCTGATTGTCCTGGGCAGAACTTCCAACGCTATGTTGGATAGGGGTGGTGAGAGAGGGCATTTTTGTCTTTTGCCGGTTTTCAAAGGGAATGCTTCCAGCTTTTGCCCATTCAGTATCATATTGGCTGCTGGTTTGTCATAAATAGCTCCTATTATTTTGAGATACATTCCATCAATACCTAGTTTATTGAGTGTTTTTAGCATGAAGGGTGTTGAATTTTATCCAAGGCCTTTTCTGTATCTATTGAGATAATTATGTGGTTTTTGTCATCCATTCCATTTATGTGAAGGATTACGTTTATTGATTTGCATATGTTGAACCAGCCTTGTATCTGAGGGATGAAGCCGACTTGATCGTGGAGTATAAGTTTTTGATGTGTTGCTGGATTTGGTTTGCCAGTATTTTATTGAGGATTTTCGCATCAATCTTCATGAAGGATATTGGCCTGAAGTTTTCTCTTTCTGTGTCTCTGCCAGGTTTTGGTATCAGGATAATGCTGGCCTCATAAATGAGTTAGGGAGGAGTCTCTCTTTTTCTATAGTTTGGATTAATTTTAGGAGGAATGGTACCAGGTCCTCTTTGTACTTCTGGCAGAATTCAGCTGTTAATCCGTCTGGTTCTAGGCTTCTTTTTCGTTAGTAGGCTATTAATTACTGCCTCAATTTCAGAACTTGTTATTGATCTATTCAGGGATTTGACTTTTTCCTGGTTTAATCTTGGGAGGGTATGTGTGTCCAGGAATTTATCCATTTCTTCTACACTTTCTAGTTTTTTTGTGTAGAGATGTTTATAGTATTCTCTGGTGGTGGTTTGTATTTCTGTGGGATCAGTGGTGATATCCCCTTTATCATTTTTTATTGTGTCTATTTGATTCTTCTCTCTTTTTTTCTTTATCAGTCTGGCTATTGTGCTATCTATTTTGTTCATCTTTTCACAAAACTACCTCCTGGATTCATTGATTTTTTTGAAATTTTTTTTTGTGTCTCTATCTTCTTCAGTTCTGCTCTGATTTTAGTTATTTCTTGTCTTCAGCTAACTTTTGAATTTGTTTGATCTTGTTTCTCTAGTTCTTTTAATTGTGATGTTAGGGTGTCAATTTTAGATCTTTCCCATTTTCTTCTGTGGGCATTTAGTACTAATAATTTTCCTATAAACACTGCTTTAGCTGTATCCCAGAGATTCTGGTACATTGTGTCTTTGTTCTCATTAGTTTCAAAGAACTTATTTATTTCTGCCTTAATTTCATTATTTACCCAGCAGTCATTCAGGAGCATGTTGTTCAGTTTCCATGTAGTTGTGTGGTTTTGAGTGAGTTTCTTAATCCTGAGTTCTAATTTGATTACACTGTGGTCTGAGAGACTGTTTGTTATGATTTCCGTTCTTTTTAAATCAAATTCAGCATCCATTCACTGTAAAAAAAAAAAAGTGATTAGTAAAATTTGTGAGGAATATTTATCATTTACAAGACGAATTTTAGCATCAAGTTTTTGGTTGAAATCCTAAAAATTCCCACAAATAAGTAATAAGATAATTGTGTCCACCACCATCATTTAAAAAAATTAATAATGTAATAAGATGAAATAATGCATGTAGCTAATGTAAGACTACGGGAGCTCTCCCCAACCTGCCACCAGGATGCAGAGCGTCCGCCGCCCTGTGTCCGGCGACACCTCGCTGTCATCCCCCCGGCTTGTGCGCCCTTGTAGACAGCCCGGGGCCTTCGTGAGACCGGTGCAGGCCTGGGGTAGTCTCCTGTCTGGACAGAGAAGAGAAGAATGCAAGACACCGGCTCAGTAGTGCCGTTGCATTGGTTTGGCTTTGGCTACGCAGCACTGGTTGCTTCTGGTGGGATCGTTGGCTATGTAAAAGCAGGCAGCGAGCCGTCCCTGGCTGCAGGGCTGCTCTTCGACAGCCTAGCCGGCCTTGATGCTTACCAGCTGTCTCAGGATCCAAGGAACGTTTGGATTTTCCTAGCTACATCTGGTACCTTGGCTGGCATTATGGGAATGAGATTCTACCACTCTGGAAAATTCATGCCTGCAGATTTAATTGCAGGTGCCAGTTTGCTGAAGGCCGTCAAAGTTGGAGTTAGTATGTTCAACAGACCCCATTAGCAGAAGTCATGTTCCAGCTTGCACTGATGAAGAATTAAAAATCTGCATCTTCCATTATTTTCAATGTATTAACAGAAATAAGTGCAGCATTTTTGCATCTGACATTTTACCTAAAAAACAAACAAACAAACAAAAAGACACCAAACTTGGCAGAGGGGTGGAAAATCAGTCATGATTACAACTCTACAGAGGTGGCGAATATGTAACAGAAGAGCTTAATAAGACCCTAATAGAGATTGATTCTTGTATATTGATGTTATCTCTTCTTCTTTCTGTATCTATAGGTAAATCTCAAGGATAAAATATTAGATGTCAACTTTGAGGGCCCTGAAATCCCATTCTGTGCTCTGAGGAACAGTGTGAAAAAATCTCTTATGAGATTTAGAATATCTGTTCTTTTGCTCATCTTAGACCACAGACTGACTTTGAAATTATGTTTAGTGAAATATCAATGAAAATAAAGGTTACTATAAATAAATAAATAAATGAAAAAGAGTACGTGAGTTGGCTATTGACTCAGAAAACCTAAAAGAACAGCTAAAAATATTAAAAATAAATAATAAATTTCTCAAGGGCATCAGTTATAAATAAATACACAAAAATAAATACCAATAAAATCTGGTAGTGAATACACTGGAAACAGGGTGAAGTCAAGACAGCAGACTCTTCACTCATTTATTTTACAGTTGTGATTCTCCAACTTCAGCATGCATAAGAATCACTGGAGGCCCTGCTGAAACAGATTGCTGGGCCTCAGACATGCTGATTCCAGAGATGCTGATTCAGTTTTTCCAGGTGGGGCTTGAGAATTTGCCTTTCTAACAAGTTTGTAGTGATCCTAATGCTGCTGGTTCCTGGACTACATTTGAATAGCCTACAACTCTGTGAAGTTGAAGTCTTATCCAGCCATGTTCCACAAAAAAGCAAGCCTTGCTATATCTTCAGTACCCTTTCATGTGTGCTACCCCAGTGAAGTACACCTTCACCTCCGGAAGCCCACTCCCTCATTGGGACTTTATAATCCAGCATTCATCCATTTCCCACACTCGCCTCTAAGTTTTGGAAGAAAACATTCATCTGTTTCCCAATTTTACCTCTAAGTTTTGGAAGAAACATGGGTCCTCCTGTTTCTTCCAAAACTTAGAAGTAGAGAACAAAGGTAACAACTCCACCATCAACCCTAATTCAATGTCATTGCCATTCCTAAAACTTAAAAGGAAGAGAAGATGGAAAAGAAAAGATAAGGAGTAGAGAAAACCGTCCAGAGAAGCAGAAAGGAAAGCCTCCAATACAGCCACGCCATTGTTGGCGATGGTTTTTATCTGTAAGTTTCTCAGTCTTGCAGCATCCACTCCCCATGACTTTTGATCCCCTTGTACTTACTCATTGCTTTTCTCAGATACTGTGCTTTCAGATTCATTTGGTTTCAGATTCATTGCTTTTCTCAGATATTGCACTTTCAGATTCATTTGAAGCTTTCGTTTATTTAGAGCAGTGACTCAAATCTGAATGCATGCCAGATTCCATTAAATGGCTAAACCTGAGTCCCACCTTTGAGATTTTGGTTTTGTTGGTCTGAGATGGGAGTATTGTCATTTTATTAAAGTTTTCCCATGAAATACAATGCACCTCTATGATTGAGAAGAGATCCCTATCACCTCAAAGTTGGCTAAGAAGAATTGTGCTACAGACCAGAGAAGTGAGAATTTTCCCCAAATCGCCAAACCATCTTTCTTTGCTTCCACCTGGAAATGTATACTTTCCATTTGATTGAGATTAAAGTTCAAAAGTATCTCTGTAGTTAAATTTGTGTGGAGAATGCAAATTATCTTATAACCACAACTGAGGATTCAGGCAGCTCACCGTCTGACTTACGGTTGATGACTGATTTTTATGCATCAACTTGGCTAAGCTTCAAAGACCAAATGTTTGGTCAAACACCAGTCTAAAGGTTGCTATGATGACATTTTTCAGATAAGGTTGGTATTTAATCAGCAGACTTGAGAAAAGTCACGTACCTTCCATAATGTGGGTGAGCTTCCTCCAGTTAGTTGAAGACCTTAAGAGAAAAGGGTGACATCTACCAGAGGAAGAGGGAAATCTTCCTTCAACCTGAGTTTACATTCAAGTTGCCCATCAGCTCTTCCCTGGGTCCCCAGCCTGCTCAGCAGATTTTGATTTTGCTAACCCCTACAATCATGTGAGCCAGTGCCTTAAAACCTGCCTCCTCTCTCACTCTCTTTCTCTGTATCCCTCTCTCCCTTTCTCTCTCTTTCTTGTCCCCCAGTTTCTCTCCCTTTCCTTGCCTCACTCTCTTCTCTCTCTACCCCCTTATCTCCCTTCTGGCCTCTCTCCTCTCCTCCTCCTTTTCTCCCTCCCCACTTTTCTCTCTCTTTTCTCTCCCCCTCTCCTCTCCTCTTTCTGTCTCCCCCTCACTCTCCCTCTTTCTTCTCTCTCCTCCCTCTCTTTCCCTTTCTCTCCTCTCTCCCTCATTCCTCTTTGCCTCTCTCTCCCTTACTCTTCCTCCTCTTCCTTCTCTCCCTCTTTGTGTGTGTGCATGTGTGTGTGTATGTATGTATTCCCTTCATGCATCCTGAAGGTATGTGTATTCACATGCTTACATGTAGACATATACATCCTACTGTCATTTTTTCTGGGGAGGACCCTAACACATCATCGACTTAGGTGGAAGTGAGATTCACTGTTAAGGCCCTGGGGTTTATGGCTTCCCTTTGGGCAACTTTGTCCCCTAAACAGAATACAGATCAACATTGAGTCCCCTGAATTTCTCTTAAACCTTCTGAGCATGAGATAGCCTCTCTAGGGTCCTCAGCTCCAGAGTCTGTGACCTCTGTTCCTGATCTCACCCCTCTTCAGAGCTGGTAAGCTGTGCATAAAGGATGGTGGGTGATAAACTTAAAATCTAACATTTGGGTTCTAAAACCTTTACAAATATTCAGACTTATGTAGCAGCTAGATGACTGAGCTTTCAACAATATCCTCTGTACTTTAGATTCCAGTTTCAGAACTGCACATTAAACCTATTTTGGTGGAGGGTACAAGGCAAATGTTAGATAAAACATGGAATATTAACCTTCACAGCAAAACCTTTTAGATTCGTTTAGATAACTGATTGCTCAAATAGCCTGTTTCCATTATTGTCTAAGCTTTGTGAATCACAGAAAGTACACTGCTAATCACAACTTGTCTGGTTTTAAACAGGTCAGAATGTCCTCAAAAATAAAAGCGCAGTAAGCCATTAACCTTTTGTGTTGGCCACTGCTATTTTATCTAGAGACCTTGTTATGAGGACAAGATGTTTGATCTATGGCAGTGGTTCTGAAACGATAGTGTGTATCAAATTTATGCAGAGTGCTTATAGAGTTTTTGAGTTCTACTCCTAGACCTTCTGATTTAGTAGGTTTTGGGTAGAACCTCAAGATCTGCAATTTTAACAAATTCCTAAGTGATGCTGATAACTGCTGGTCCATACACTAGTCTTTTAGAAAATCTAACTCCTAAAAAATACAGTCGAGCAAATGAATTAATGGAAAATAGATTTTTTTTCACCTGGGTTCAGCAGGTTATCAACTGGGATTCATCAAACACTTAAATGTGCTTGGTCAGCACTGTGATAGTGTTGTGTGGACAGATGAGAATAGTTGCTGCGATCAAAGAACTAACCATCTGTTTGGAGGATCAAGACTAACATTACCTACTTGTAGTAAAGAACAAACCTTGAGATATAACAGCTTATGTGTCACAGATGAAAAGACTGGCAGGAGTTCATAAGAAAGGAAGATAATGAGGACTCTGGGAACTGCAGAAAGCTTCTGTCGAAGGGGAAATGAACTGGGCCTGGAAGAACTGGATTAATAGATTAGAAAATAAGAAATTCAAGGTGGGAGAGTCACATGGGGACAGAGGCAGAATGAGCATTAAATTGGCTGTTTAGGGGAAATGGTTGGTGTCTTGCACATGAATGTATTTAACAAATAATGTGATGATTACCATGACTTAGAGTGGTAAACAGATTTGGAATGGTTAGGGGAAGAGGTATATTATGAGAGATCTGTGAGCCCAGGCAGAGAACATAGAGTTAGAACAGTAGGAAATTCAGAATATTAAGCAGAAGAAATGCATGATAAAAGTCATATGTAGGAAATATAAATTTAGAAACAATGTGCAGAATAGGTTGGACTATGTGGAAATGAAAGATGCATTGAGTTCCTGGAGCTAAAGGCTTATTGCGGGACGTCCAAGAGTGAGAAGATTAGGACCAGAATTAAGCTTGTTGCAGTAAGAGTAAGAAAATAGATACCCATATTTTCTATGGAAAATGATTTGTTTCAGTGACATAAACAAATGCATAAAGGTGGTACTTTTGAACTTGGGTATTCATCAAGAAAGGAAATGTTATTAGCAGGGATAAATATTTTTAAAATTTAGTTTTGCCAGAGAGATGTATCTGGTTTTGGATATGTCGATTCGAGGTAACAATACATTCAAAACAATTCTCTAACTAAGATTTGTGTATTTAAGGAGAGTACATGACTTATATCAATTTGAAAGTAACTGATATTAATTTTTTATTTAAAGCTATAAATGTGAGAGAAAATATTTACTCATACACATTTATTCCTTAAGTTTTAATGGATCACTTTCTGTAAGTCAGACATTGTAGTGGGAGTACAAATGGGAAATTAATAAGAGAATTTAGAGATAGAAAGTCAAGGAATTGAATCTAGGAAGGGCTCCTTAGAGTTTGGATAAAGTCAGAGGAATAAATGAAGACAACACGTGAGAGGTACAGTTGTAAAAAGAGAATGAGGATGGTGTTGAAAAGGGTTGGAAGTAGAGGAAATGATGCCTTGTGGCAGCAGAGGTCAAGGATAACCATGGAGAAATGTGACTGGGATTGACAAAAGAAAACATTAAAAATCTCTTAGGGAAGAGGAGGCAGAAGAAGGGAGTAGATGTGAAGAGACTGATGAAGAAAGAGCCATAGAGCAATAAAAGTAGAAACAAGTTAGGATACCACACTGGTGGAGAGC